GGTTTGTCCCCCCGTCGTGTGGCAGCTCGTGGCCCCAGCGCTGCCACGTTGGGTTGTCCCAGTCCAGACAGCAGCGGGGTGACACCCCCCCCACACACACACACACCCCTACTCCCTTTCCTCTCCAGCCCTTCCCAGCCCCGCCGGTGCCCCTGCCCCAGGGTCCCTCTCCCCGCTGACCCCCTGTTCCCCTGCCTCGCAGACTGGCTGGTGGACAGGAGACACTGTAACCTGAAATGGCAGAGCCAGGTGCTGGCGGTGCGCGAGAAGATCAACGCGGCCATCCAAGACATGCCCGAGAACGAGGAGATAAAGCAGCTGCTCGCGGGGGCCTGTGAGTGGAGCCTGGGGGTGTCCCAGGAGAGCTGGGACACGGGCAGCCGGGGCCGGTGTCGCACCAGGAGCCTGTTCCCGAGGGTTTGGTTATGGCAGCCTCCCCCCAGCTGAGGAGGAGATGGGGAGTCGGTGGCACAGCCCCTTATGAGACACGCAGTCCCCAGGCTGAGGTGGGAGGGGGTGGCACCCAGCAGACATCCCGGTGACTGTGTCCTTCCTTCCAACGCAGACCTGCACTATTTCCACTGCCTGAGGATCGTGGAGATCCTCAAGGGCACTGAAGCCTCCACCAAGAACCTTTTCGGACGCTACTCGTCCCAGCGCATGAAGGTGAGCACAGGCCTGGGGACGTGTGGCTGGTGGCAGCCAGCGTGTTTGCAGCCTCCTCCACCCTCGGCTTCCTCGTCCCTCCCCAGGACTGGCAGGAGATCGTGTCCCTCTACGAGAAGGAGAACACTTACCTGGGTAAGGCGGCTCCAGAGAGACCCCGGGGGGTGTTGGTGGGATGAGGGATGGGGTGGGCAGAGGAAGGGGCAGGACATGATCGAGCTGCCACGTCCCACGGGGGTGAGGGCCCTGGCGGGGGCACCCCGAGGATCTCACGGGTGGCTGGCACGGCCTCTCAGCACCCCCCTTACCTCCCCCTCGCAGCCGAGCTCGCCAGCCTCCTGGTGCGCAGCATCAGCTACGAGATCCCCTCGCTGCGGAAGCAGATCAGCCGGTGCCAGCAGGCCCAGCAGGACTTTGCTCGCCGTGAGGACGAGTGTCAGCTGGGGGCGGCCGAGCTGCGGGAGCGCTTCTTCGCCTCCTGCAAGCAGTACGGCATCACCGTGAGTCCCTGTGGCCGGCCCTGCGGCGGAGGCCTTCCCTCTGTGCCACCTGCCTCCCAAAGCAGCCCCCAGACCCTGTGTTTGGCCTCAGTGGGGCTCAAGCTGTGACTGTGTGTCACATACGATGTCCCCGTGGTGCCACCTTACCTATGGGAGGAGCTGGAGGGGGGGGATGTACGTGACCCCGCAGTCCTCCATCCCCTTCCTGCCCACGTGAAGCTCCTCAAGTAGAGGGTGAAGCCACCCCGGGGGTGCTTTTTCTGCCTGTCTCCGTGCCCTGACACATCCCTGCTCTGTCCCCAGGGTGACAACGTGCGCCAGGAGCTGCTGGCCTTGGTGAAGGACCTGCCATCGCTGCTCTCCGAGATCGGGGCGGGAGCCAGCGCGCTCTCCGAGGCCATCGAGCTGTACCAGGCCTGCGTGGAGTTTGTGTGCGAGAGGTGAGCAGGAGGGGACCCCCACATCCCCTTTCCCCACCTGTGGGGACAGTGGGTTGGGCTGGCAGCTGCTCCCAGGCTCTGGGGCTCTCCCAGAGGGATTCTAGGGCAGGCAGGGGGGTGCTGGGAGGATCCCCCCACTTTGTGCCTTGAGCACTGATGTCCCTGCGCTGGCTGCCAGCTCCACGGAGCTGGTGGTGCCTCTGCTGCGGTACGTGGGGAAGAGAGGGAACACGACCGTGTACGAGTGGAGGACGGGGCTGCAGCCGCTGCGCGTGGAGCGCCCGCAGGTGGAGGAGGTGCCGGAGCCGCCCAAGGAGGACACGGTACGTCCGGGGCCGAGCTGCGGTGCTGGGGAGAGCCCCAGCTGGCTCTGCCCTGTGTCGGGTTAGGCTGTTTGTCCCCCGGTGTTTCAGAGGCGGGGGGGTGTCTCTTGTTCTTCTCCCCGCAGATCGACTGGGGAGACTTCACGCTGGAGCCGAGCAGCGTGGGTGATGGTGCCGCTGCCGATGGGGTGGCCCAGGGCGAGGAGATCGACTGGGGGATCACGCTGGAGCCCGCTCCCCAGGTGTGGGACCCCTGGTTGTGTGGTTCTTGGGGTCTGGCCCTGCTCCAGGGCTGGGCTGGCTATCTTGAGGGGCGTCCTGGGCCCCCCCCCGTCTCACAGGGTGCCTGTTCTTTTGCAGCAGGGTGATGGTATTGACTGGGGAGATGGGGAAAGCGAGGAGGTGCAGATCACGGTGCTGGAGGCTGGCACCGAGGGTGAGCACGGCTGAAAAGGGACACAGGGGGTCCCAGGGGGCAGCAGGCAGCGCCCACCCTGCCCTTCCTCCTCCTTCCCTGCCTGCGGGGACCCTGGGCACCGGCACGAGGGAGGGTGGATCTCCACTGAACAGTGCCATGGGGTGATGCTGAGCACCCTGCACGGGATGAGTTGGGGTGGGGGGGAAGGTGGAGATCCCTTCCCTGCCCCACTCACCCCTGACTCGTCCCCCAGTGCCCGAGGGGGTGGCCTGTGGCTCCGACGCCCTGACGCTCCTGGAAAACACCGAGACCCGCAGCCAGTTCATCGACGAGCTCATGGAGGTGAGGACAGCGCAGCAACGCCGGGGCAGGGGCAGCCCTGCTGCCATCCCACCGCAGAGGTGAGTGTCCCCGGGCTCTGTCCCCGCAGCTGGAGCTGTTCCTGTCCCAGCGGCTGGTGGAGATGGAGGAGGAGGCCGATATCGTGGCCGTGAGCCAGTTCCAGCTGGCCCCCGCCGTGCTGCAGGGCCAGACCAGCGCCCACGTGGGCTCCCTCCTGGCCACCACCCGGGCTCTGTTGGACCAGCTCTGCACCCGCAGCATGCAGCACCTCTTCATGATCCTCGCCTCCCCCAGGTCCTCTCG